TGGTTATAACTGATATGTACTGACTTATTGACATATTATTGGCCTTTTGTTGACTCTTTTTACTTTTTCACCTTCTCCTTTTAATTTCTTGCCTTGCCTATTTGATTTGCTCTGTTGGGCCTCATGGTGTTGCTGCCTTCATTGTCTTTTTCTAGGATCTTGTTTAGAATTCCTTGTAGTGCTGGTTTGGTATTCATGTAGTTTCTCAGGTGTTCTTTGTAGTGGAAGTGTCTTATTTCCCATCCATTTTGAAAGAGAGTTTTGCAGGATACATCAGTCTAGGTTGGAGGTTGTTCTCTTTTATTACTTGAAATATCTCATTCCAGGCTCTCCTTGCTGTAAGGGTTTATGTTGAAAAGTCTGCTGTGATTCTGATGAGCTTTCCTTTGCATGTGATTTGTTTCTTTTACTGCTTGTAGTATTTTGTTCTTCTGTTGGGTTTCTGGGATCTTGATTATTATATGTCTAGGTGTAGAATTTTTTTTATTGTGGCTAGTTGGGGTCCTATATGCCTCAGTTATCTGACTGTCAAATTCTTCCCCTCTGTTTGGGAAGTTTTCTGTCATTAATTCTGCCAACAGCTTTTTAAAGTCATTTGTATTTTCTCCTGCTACTTCATGTATTCCTATCAGTCTTATGTTATTCTTCTTTGCATCATCTAGGAGTTGTTGGATCGATTTCTCATGATCCCCTACTGTTTTTAAGAGACCTCTCTTTTCATGGTCACTGACTGCAATCTTATCTTCTATATCTGAGAGTCTTATCTTCGCATTCTTTTATTCTGTTGCATACACTTTCTATGGAGTGTTTAGTCTCCTGGATATCTGTTTGAATCTGTTTTATGGACTCTATTTCTTTCCTATGTTGGGTGTTTATTTTTTCCATTTCTTTCTTATGCTGGGCCTTCATGGCTTTTATCATGGTCCTGAGCTCCTCTATTTTTTTGTCAGTTTCTGCTCTAGAGTCTCAAATCACGACTTCCATTTTGCTCACTATCTCTATGCTTATCTGGGACATTATTTCTGTTTTGAATTTTTCTAGAGCCTGATTGATCTGTTTTGTTACTTCCTGTGCTTTGAGTTCAGGGTGTCCTGGTGGTTCACTATCGGCCTTTTCATCCTCATTTGCCCTACTGTTTGCCATTGGTGAACTGGAAGTCTGTCTTTGTGTCTTCCTTAAGTGTTTTCTCATTTTTATTTTTGTTGTTGGGCTGTCCTTGGTTTAATCTCTGGGTTATCACCCAAATCTTCCTGATATAGTTGTGCCCTAGCTTCTAGGTGGTCTCTAATGACCCACAGACATTCTCATCTTCATAACATCAGAGAAAACAGCTCATCAAATCAACCACACTCCTTTATCCCAACTGATACAATCAGCAACACATTAAGATCAAGCACAACTTGGAAACTGTGGTAATCACTAGTCTATCACCCTTAAACCATTTGAATTAAATTGAAATCAAGAAGCAGTCCAGAACATGCCTGCAGTGAACAAACTTTTCAATACAGTATATTTACAAGACAGAGCTAGGACTCAAGACCCCTGATCTCAGTTAACTGATGGCTGAACCCCATGATGCAGACTGACCTCGGGATTCAAGGCCCAGATTGAGTTCCCTAAACTTCTGAATGGTTGAACTCCACACTGTTCTACTACAGGTTTACCACGCCCTTCCTTTAAAGATGTTCAAAGTTGGGAACTCAGAAAAATACTCTTTATGACCACCTCTGCCTCTGCAGAGTGGGTCTAAAGACTGGCACAATCAGGAGGTCTGAGAGTGGGGGGGGGTAAGGGGAGTTATGGGGGTTCAGGGGCCCCTGCGTGGCTACCTTCTTGGTGCTGGAGCAATGGCTGCTCCAGGTGGGAGAGGGAGTGGCTCTCCTTCCTGCTGTAGAACGGGGCCCAGGCTACCTTCCTGGTGCTGGAGCAATGACGGCTCCAAAATGATTTTTAAATAAAAGCAAATCTCTACTTTCTTCTCTGATTAGGGTGGTTCTCAATATATACAGTACTTATAGTAATGAGAATTTTGAGATAAATTATTAGTTTTTAATTGAGTTTATTGGTGCTTTTAAATTATACAGTACAGTTACATTCATCATTGGGATCTTGTACCTTTACATGACAGATCTTGGTTCCCTTTTTTTCCCATACCCCTGCCCTCCCTTCACTCCCTGCACCCTCTCCTATTTACAAAGACTTAGTTTCCATTTCTCGTATTTTTTCTTTTCCTTTCTTTCCTTTCCCTTACCACTTCCCCTACACTGTTAGCCCTTTTCTTCTTATTTTAAATTATTAGTTTTTTAAATGTATTTCCCTCTGACAAAATTAAATTCCCATTGGGGCAATGACTGGCTGGGTCTTATTTACTGCTGTATTCCCAGGGCCTAGCCTAGGGTCCACACATGGTATAGCACATGGTTGAAAAAGAAAAGTTTAGTGCCGGGCGTCGTGGCTCACGCCTGTAATCCCAGCACTCGGGAGACTGAGGCAGGAGGATCGCTGTGAGTTCGAGCCTACCCTGGGCTACATAGTGAGTTCCAGGTCAGTCTCAACTACATAGTGAGACCCTGTCTCAAAAAACCAAAAAAAAAAGAAAGAAAGAAAATGAAAAGAAAAGTTTAGAGTTCTAACATTGCCCACTGATCAATGCAACTTTGGTTAGGACTCAGCCTCCTTAGTCTTATGCTTTTTCCTCTCCACCGGCTGCTTGGATTAAACACTTAGATACATTTAAAGTGCTCAGGCAGGACCAGGCACCCATAGTGTGTGCTCAGTAAACATTAGCTCCTTTCTAGCAGATGCTCAACATACTTGAATGAGACTTCCAGTTTCTCATTTGATTTGGAAAGAGCTAGGAAGTCATTGCTCCCATCTTCATAATATAAAAAAATAAAAAAGCTGAATAAACTGAAACAGATCTTCTTGGAATCATCACAGATTGAATTCACAGGGAAAACAGCCAACCTGAAAACTGGAGAGACAGACAGGTGGCTACAGAGAGTTGCAATTTCTTGGAGCAGAAGTGTGAGAGATAAACCTCCTGGGAAGGCACAGCCAGGGTTGGAAACCCTAACCTGTGACAGCCACCTGCCTAGAGGCTGGGTGTGGACAAGCGTGGTGTTAGAAAGTCCAAGAACTCGGCTGTGGGGCCCACAGTCATAAGTGCCACCACCAGGAGCCCTCCATAGTCCTCACAGTGGATACTGAAGAAAATGCCCCTCTTGCTTCCAAGTTAGAGGGGAAGCAGCCATGTTTAATTATGCACAGAGCATTTTGTTCTTCTAAGTAGAAGTCTACCCTCAAGGGAGACTGTTTCTCCAGAACCTTCCAAAAGAAAAGGGAAATACTCTACCCCAGTCTGTCCTCTCTAATGTTCCTGTCTTTGCTGGGGCTAGCAAGAGTGGGGAGAGCTGAGAAGCCCTTGGGAAAGTCACATCCAAGGATGCAGGCTCAGTGAATACTGAGACCTAATTCTGGGACCGTGGAATATTCACCTTTCTCACTTGCATTGCTACAAAAATAGGGCTGTTGTCTAATAACAGCAGAGGATTGCAGCAAAAAGAATGCAATCCTCAGACTCTGTGGAGTCTCTAGGGAAATCCAAAGGTAACAGAGGAGCAGGAACAAGGTCATCAGAGGAAATCTTAGCTTACAGCTACAGCTACAGCAAACAGTACACAAAGCCTGTCCTAGCCAGGTAAACATAAAGCATCCCACTAAAGGCCTATAGTCTTCAGTTCCTTTACCTGGTTCATTATATCAGCCTTTAACACACACACACACACACACACACACACACACACACACACACAAATTTACAAAGCATGCTAAAAGATAACACAGCAAAGCCAGCATCAAAACAGGATCCAGTTACAGCATATGGGCTAGAACAATCCAAATGGGAATTTAAAAGTACTATGATAAATACACCAAGGGTCCTAAGGGAAAAGGTGGACAATGTCCAAGAGCAGATGGTAACATAAACATTGAGCTGGAACCTCTAACAGAAAAATCTAAATGAAATGTCAGAAATAAAAAATACTGGGCTGGGGATTTATCTCAGTGGTGCCACCAGCTGATTCACAAGCACAAGAACCCAAGTTCGAACCCCAGTACCAAAGAGAAAGAAATGAAAAATACTATGCTGAGATGAAGCCTGTCCTTTAGGAACATCAGAGGACTGGACAAGGCTGAGCAAAGAGTCAGTGAGCTCTGAGAAGTAATCATAGAAGCAGGGGGGCATAGCTCAGTGGTAGAACATGTGCTTAGCATGCATAAGGCTCTGGGTTCAATCCTAAGACTGAAAAAAAAAGACACCAAACTAAAAACAAAGTGAAAAAAAGTAGAACAGAATTTTGTAGCACAGTGGGCCAGTTTCAAAAGATGAAACATATATGTAGTGGGAGTATCAGAAGGACAATACAGAGATAAAAGGGCACAGAAATATCCAAAGCACAGCTGAGAATTTTCTAAAATTTAAGACAGTTACCAAACAACAGATCCAGCAATCTATGACCAGTCATATCATTCAAGTTGCAGAAACTCAAAGACCAAAAAAAAAAAAAAAAAAAAAAAAAAAAAAAAAAAAAAAAAAAAAAAAAAGTCTTAAAAGAAGCCAGAGTAGAAAAACAAAAAATCTTTAGAAGAGCAAGGATAAGAATTACAATTTCTCAGAAACCATGCGAATAAGAACAGAGTGGAGTGAAAGAAAATATTTCCAATTCAGAATTCCATATCCCCTAAAATTATGCCTCAAAAGTAAAAAAAAAAAAAATAGGGATGTTCTCCAACAAAAAAATTTAGGGTAACTGCCACAAGTACATGTATACTTCAGAGAGAAGGAAAAGGGTATGGCCCAAAACTCTAGTCTACAAAAAGTAAGGCACTGAAAAAGGAACAAGTGGAGGTAAGACAAATACATAAAGCAAATCAACACAGTTCTCCAGGAAGTCCTCTTGCATTGCCCACAACAGCATCCCTCCTAAGGATCCAGGAACACCAGCACTGCCTTCATCACATAGTGCTAGAACGGCCTGTCATCTACCCCATAGGCTACCAGCCCTGTGTACCAGGCTGGCAAGGCACTCAGTATTACAGGAAAAATGGGAGGGACGGAGGAGGGGTGGCATCTGCACTGACACAGGGGCAAGTTGCTAAATAGTGCGTCTTTTTATTAGCAGTTCAGCAAAGGATTCCAGGGCTGCCTCTGTAGCAGCACAGGGCTCACCCACTGGCGTCTCTGTGCCCAGGTCTGGGAACCTTCAGGTCAAGCTGGAGGCGGACTTTTCTCTGACATAGGCTGCTCCTTGACCTTGAAGGTTTCAACCTGGGGAGCAGAGAAGTGCCCAGGGAACACATCACAGAGCTGTGATGCTTCCCTCTCAGCCTACCATTCTCCATGTGCACGGAGCACGGTCTAGACAGCAGAAGACCCATGAAAGGAAAGTCAGGGCTGTGTTAGAACCTGGGATTGAAGCCTGGCTCTGCTCCTCCCCACCTCAGCAGCCCTTCCTCATCTCTGGGATATCGGCAAACAGGTGATGTCATTTACCATGTGCTAGACACCACCCCAAGACCATCCAAGGTGGACACTCCTGTTGTAGATAAAGACATGATACACACAGACATGAGGTAACCTGCCAGGTGCAGCTGTAGAGCCATGCCTGCTCCTTGGGCCTAGCCTCCGCCACCTATATAATGGTTGATTGTGAGCAAAGTTGCTTGTGCAGAAGCTGGTATAGAGGAAGTGCTTGATAAATGTTAGCATCACATCTCTATGGTCCTCTTTAGAGGCCAGTTATATGTAAATCGCACCTTTTACCTCCACAGTAGCCAACACCACCTCTCACATAGCAGGGTGGGCAACAGCTCAGCCTTCCACCAACCCAGAACCACATAGAGCACCACTGTTTATGACCCAAAGACATGAACATCCCCAGTGAATGGGTTCCAGCCTTTATCCAATCTCACTCCTGCCACTGTGATCCTGTGACTCAAAGTGAGGTCCATACAGTACTAGCAGCTCAGGAACTGTCAGAAAGGCAGACTTCTGGGTACCTCCGCAGCCTGTTAATCATGAGCTCCTGGGCCTACGATCCACCGAAAGGCACCAGTATCTGTGCCACCATTAAACAGTCAGAGAGGCCAACTGTAAGCCCTTATACAAATTTAAGGGATATGCTGCCAAAGCCTGAGGTAGCTGCCTCTTCTCCTGCTGCCCTGGCAACAAGCACAGGCCTCTCACTGACAAGGAAAGGATAAGCCTTAACCAGTTCCCATCCCAGCACTGCTTCTCACTGCCTTGGATGACCATCCTCTTGGCCCAAGCCTTCACCTGCTGGCTCTCTCACCTGTTGTTCTTAACAGTTTGTGAAGGAAGATCTGAAGCTTGAGTCCTGAGCTGAGTCACAGGTAAGATGGGATAAGCTACAGGGGATAGTAGAGAGGTCCAGGTTGGGAGAGGCTGCCAGGCGGCAGAACCCACCCATATCACACACCCAACCACATCTCGGAGGCAGGGGCTGGAATGGGCCACTCACACATGAATTATCACCACACTCAGACCTGTCAGGGGTCCTAGGAGGAAGCCCTCATCCCAGAGCCCTTCTATGCGTTGGCAGACACTGAGGGAGGCACAGGAGAGAGGACAGCAGCCCTGGGAACTGCTCACCCCTGCATGTGTGTGGTGCATGTTTCTTGGGATTGGATATGGACCCTTCACACTAAACTACATTCCCAGCACTCTCTATTTTTTATTTTGAGACAGGGTCATGCTAAATTGCCCAGGCTGGGCTCAAACTTGCTATCCTCCTGCCTTGGGTTCACAGAGGGCAGTGCCACTCCCCACAGCTTAGCCCTGATCTCGATGTTTGAAGGAACACCAAACAGAACATTGCTGGTGCAGACCCAGCAGCCACACTGCACAGGCCCAGTGGGAGCCAGGTTATTGCCCAGTAACTCACCTTCGTCTCACCTGCTCTATCCGATCTTGCATGACCTCGCCCATCACCTCACTTGGCACTTGGAAGATGCGGGTGTGGCTGAAAAATGCCATTCAGACGTATAGGTGCTGAGTCTCCTTCAGATGAGGTAGAACAAAACTAGCAGAATCAGGATGCCCCTCACTGTGACCACGGGAGCTGGTCCCTGCTCCTCTCATGAAAGGCTGTTTCACTAATGGGTAACCTGCCCTGAGCAGGCAGCTAGTGGTCCCGGAGAGTTAGGGAAATGGGCAGCACTCACTTTTACCAATGTCCAAAGGTCAGTGGCCTAGGAATTTTCCCTTAGGATGTCCTCCCTTAACTTTATGATCTGCTCTCATGTTTGCTGTCCTGCCATATTCTCTGGTTGCTTTAGAGAAGCATCTAAAAATTTTATTTCAAACAAGCTACAGGCACCTCCTGGCTGTTGTTTCTGCTTTATTTTGCCATGGCTGATTTGCTTTCTGCTCTCTGGTCCACTTTACATACTTTTCAATTCTATGTTCTGCCCTCCCTCAGGCCACCATCCTGTCCTCTGAATGCCCATGGCTGTGTCCACTGATACTTTCTTTCCCAGACAGGAAGAGAAGAGAGGCCTTGGAGCAGAAAGGGCACAGGGTTCTGTCCTCCAAAGCTCCTGCCTTGGGCCCTGTGTCTTGGTAGTGCCCTGCTCAGGAGCCAGTCCAAGCAAACAGTCTGCATGAAAGGGACCTTTCGTGAGAATTCAGCAGCAGTGCCCATCCCGTGTGACCCAGTTCTCAAAAACTTCTCAAAACTTGTTCATTTTCACATGCCTTGTCCATGTAGCTTACTCTAACTCTTTGAAATCGGGGGCTATATCTTGTTTTTTCTCTCCTGCTTCTTCCAAGAGAGTAATACTGGTAGATGACCAGTACTCATCTACCAAAAGGGTGCTATCAGTGCCATTTCACCAAAAGATACGGGATCTCTGACTGTGTCCTTACTAAAAGTAAGAGGAGAGGTTGTTACTTTAAAATCTCCAAAGAAAATCCAGAGTGCAAAAATTACTATGCTTAGATAATTGACTGGTTCCTAAAAACCTGTCTCAAAAGCTTCACCTAGTTGAACTATACAGCCAAGATTTAAAAAAATATTGAGAGATGACATGCATATTAACCTAGCCAAGGAACGTGACAGAGTTTCATACACAGCCACCTCAGATGAGGAAAATCCAGATTACGATCAACATTATTAACTTAAGGAGCCTGGCAACTTGATCCCAGGAAGGTCTCTGATTCCACCGTTATCGATCCCGCCCTGTAAGTAAGGACTGCACCTTGAATGTGCCTAAAATTTGGACTAGAAAAGATTAACCAGCAATGACCCAATATCTTGAACTATATCTCTTGAGAAACAGCCTCAAGAGAAAAGAGTAAAACCAAGTAGGGTGAAGGAAAACAAAAAGATGGGAGATGAGAGGACCTTGGTACAGTTTTGCATGAACTATTTAAACCCAGTCCCCCTAGCACCAGAACTCAGGAGCCAGAAAGGAAATGGGAAGCCTCCACCCAGCACAAAGGCAACTCCAGGCCCAGCTCACTCTGCCTGAAGACAGCGTCTTCAGATCCCAGAGAAATACTGGCAGGTGTGGACTGTGGCTTACAGGAGAGCTGGAAGCCCCCAAAGCCACCATCATGTGGCTCTCACAGAATTCTAGCTTTGGGAGCTGGAAACTGCCACACACCTAGCTGCAGATGAGGGCAAGCTTTTGCATTTTAAGAGCTTATTTTCTTGTAAGCTCTTTAAAGTGCAGTCATTTCTGAACAATTCAAGTACAAAAATAAGGGAATTCTGAAATATCAGAAGTGCTTAAGAAACGTAGAGCAAACCCAATTTCCCAAGCCCTTAAGACATTTTCAATGCAAGAATGAGCTGGGCTTTCAAGATAGCAAAATATTCCCTTAAGACCCCAAAGAAAGGCCAAGAAATTTCTCAGCCAAAGGAGACTGCATCTGGAGAGAAGAGGAGCCATAGGTTTGTGTTGGCTGAGGTCTATGGAGAGAGGGGCCTGTGTCTTTTCATAGGCCTCCCCCTCCTATGCTCAGGGCAAAGAGGTGTACCTCCATCTTATGAACTGGATTCTTGTTCTCTCCTCCAGGATCTCTTGGCTTGGGTTTGCACATAAATCAGCCTTTGAGAGTTGCTGTTTCACCTAGGAAATGAGGCAGGAATCCATGTGACTATTGGCCACTGTGGATGTGCCCCTGCCCCACCTCACAACAGCGGTGGGATGAGCCCTTGTTCAGCACCCTCAATGGGCCACCCTGCCTCTCCCCACACCCTAAGTTCCAGGGCAATTGTCTCAAACTCAGTTACCACATCTCTGGTCACATGTATGTCTTGGCCATGAGTGGGAGAGGAGTTGGTGGACATCTTCTCCTTAATGCTCTCGGAAGCCTCTTCTTCTGTCTGAAAGTGAGTAATTCCTTCTATGTCATTTGTCCTCCTCTCCTCCTTTGCCTTCTCCACAACACACATGCCACGTGTCTGTACACACATCCTCCATATCTCCCAGACCCTGCACTGAATTCTTCCATTGTTTCTTTTTGGTGAAGTCCAGCGAGCTCCCCAAGTCTCTGAACCTATCCCAAGGTATTTCTGAGACATTCTTGAACTGAAATCCCTCCATCAGGAGGCTTGGGAAGCCAGGCCAGTGAACAGTGATGCTGATAGAATAACACTATATAATAAGACAGGCCCTTGCCTTACCTCCATTTTTTTCCCCACAGAATGTTTATTCCAGAAGTGTATCAGTTTGTGCAGCTAGGCAGCTCCTGTTCAATGTATCAAAATGTTCTGTAACTATTTGAACTTCCTGCCGGCTCAGGAATATTCTGTTAGCTCTGCCCCTTTCAGGAATGTTCTATAACTCCACTACCTTGCTTCTGTGAGCATGCTTGCCCTCTATGCCTTCTAGGAATGTTCTGTAACTCCGCCCCACCCCCGTTTTAGTGAGCATGCTCCCCTCTCTGTAGATCCCTATATAAGGAGGCTCTCATTTCTGTTGAGGAGCTCAGACTTTGAGTATGAACTCCTCTGAGCGCCCTGGCATAAAAAAAGGTCATTCTTTGAGTGACTATCAGATTCTCGAGTCTTCAAACTGTGATAGCCATGACCCGGAGCTTTAACACTTAGCGGTGTCTCAGAGCTGTGACACTTGTCTGTGACACTGAGCTGTAACACTAGGCTATAGCGCTGAGCTGTTCTGATTTGTGACAACAATGTTAATGCATCCCTTACCTGGACAAGAGTCCCAGGGTCCCCTGGGACTCAACAGTAGACAGAGTTCCCTGGCTGTACAGAGAGAAGAGTCGAGATCCCCAACCTACATGAGATCAATTGTCTAGAGTTTGGGGTATCTGAGTCAGAGAAGAACCTTACTCACTTTTTTCAACCAATGCTCTACAACAGATACAGCCTCACTTTCCACAACTTCAATGTCCTGGAACAAATTGGTAAGTTAATGACCTTAAGAAAGCTAGAAACCCAGCTCTCCCTACCCACAGTGCTCTCATCAGAATTTAGATATTGTAAGATCTCTCTAAAGTGCAGTAAGGTGCACAGAGGGAAAAGATAGGTGAGAAACTATTCCATGTAGCTATCAATTCTGCTTACCGAGCTAGTCTTTGGTGGGAAGGGGAATCCTACACCTTTCCGGGCAAGAATGTACACAATCCATGTTGTAATTATCATCTTCGAATTTATACCAGCCCTTCTTCTTGGCCTCCTTCCATTGAAGCTGCCTGAGAACTCTATGGATCAGGGAGGACAGTGAAGGGAGGTGTGTCCTGATTGGCTGACCAGTGATGATGTGACAATGACCTCCCTTAACCTCCAGGGTCAAAGAAGAGATGGAAAAGAAAGGTCCAGAGGTTTCTGCCTTAGTGTTGATCTTGGCTTGGAAGTAGAGAGGGCAGGAAGTAAGGATAAGCTACTGCAATATGTGCCCAAGTAAGGCACAAAGGGGACGCCATCCAAATTATAGAGAATCTCAAGGCAGGAGCAGAAGGTGAAGTTGATGGCTGGCCACCTGGTCCAGAACAATGCTGAAGCAAAACAAGAATTGTACAAATCAAAAGAATAAATTTGTGGCAAACTTATCTGAACCCTCATTCAAAACAATGTCAGAGATATTTCCTGTTGTTATTATCACATACAGCGGAGGAAAAGAGCTTGTTGTCCACCCAGAAAAAACATCAGAGATTGGGAGGCAAATTCTCAACTGAGGTATATTCTTTATTTTTGTCTACTTTGTCTGCATAAGTGATTCAAATCATTAAAAAGTAATATAGGGCTGGGGATTTAGCTCAGCAGCACAGTGCCTGCCTTGCAACACAAGGTCCTGAGTTCAATCCCTGGTACCAAAAAAAAAAAAGTAATATAAACAATAAGAAATATGGGCAAACAGTGAGAATGCCCCTTCTTTAAAATATGTTTCTTGATTATTCTACTTTTGTTCATGCTTGGTGAAAGAAGAGTAAGGTGAAAACAAGAAGAGGATTGTACTGTGGCTTCAAAATTGGGGGCAAAAATAAAAACCTGAAAGGGACTCAAGTAACTGCTTTTTCCAGCTCAGACTGATTACAAGAAAATTCAGAGAAGCTCAAAATAACCTAACAGAACCTAAGCAAAGGTCCAGCTGCCCTCAAAAGCAGTTACAGCACAACTCACCTGAATCAGAGACCTGAAACTGTACTCAAGGTCTCAGAAGTTTATGGTCCTGTCTCTACACTAGCTCATCACTAGCTGATCTGATCCTGGTTTCTTTGTCTTAAAAAGAAAAAGACAGGATTGTGTCTCTAGTTTTCTGCCAGCTCTGATAGTCTATAAATGTTTCCATTCTCATTTTTCTCAGGATGATAGAAAACCTTTATCTCTCCAGTTTTCTTAATATAACATATGTCTCCTCACTTTTCTCCATCTCCATTTTGTATCTTTTCTGGTTTGGGACTGGGCTGAGAGCTGAGGCAACAAACTCCCAGATTAAAGAAGTTTATTTCTCACTTTCAGAAGTGCTAATGTAGGGTGGTTGTCCCTCCACCGAAGCTGTGGTCCATGAGGTGACTCGGAGATCTAGAAAACTTCCATCCTGCAGCTCTGTCCTTCTCGGGATGTAGCCTCCAAGATCCCCAGAGCAGGGACAGGGAGCCATGGAGAGCCAATGCAGTCTTTCCAGGTTTCAGCTGAAATGCTGCTGTTCAAAGCCTTTGGGCCCATCCTAGTCACATGGCCCCAGGCTAACTCTAAGGGGAAAATTATGCAATGGCAGATAAAATGATTTGTCAAGCTCTCTGTGTCTGCTACTATCCCTTATAAGTTATGTGTCCATCCTTACTGAAAGTTTTATATTTTAATAGTAAAATATTAATGTGATACAAAAACCAAAAGTACATGAAAAGATACATTCAGAGAAGTTTTATCTTCTACCCCATCCCTTCAACTTTGATCTAACTTCAGGAGAAAGTTTGCAACAGTTTCTAGGAATATATGTATATCCTGTGTTCTTGTTGTCAAATGATTCATAAATCCATTCTTGTTTTTACAATACTAAAAGTGCATTTAGTAAAATATGCAAATATATGTACAGCTCCAAAAACGTTAACATGCACTTGTAACCAATTCCCAGATCAAGATTATAAATATAAACATTGCTTTTTTTAATACACTATGTAACATTTCTAATATTGCAGCAGACCTCCAGGCAGTTCCCCTCCCCAAAGTATTTTTACCACTATTGCCACTGATAAGCTTTGCCTAGAAACATATGTATGTGGTCTTTTCTCACTAGCTGCTTTGCTGTTGTTGCATAAAGCTATTTCATCTTTGAATAGTATTCTGTTCTTTTATTTTAACACAAATTATTTATCAAATCTACTACTCATATGCATTTTTGTTTCGGCCAGAGTGGTGCTTTTTAAAAAATAAATGCTGCTATGAACATTCGTATCTACCTTTTGGTTGGCGTAAGCACTAAATCTTCTTAGTATTTAACAGGAATTGGAATTTCTAGACCGATCATAGGTTCTATGTACCTTCAACATTAGTGTATACCAATGAGTAATGCAAAGAGGCTGTACAAACCCACTGCCCATAACAGTTAGTATATATTTTTGTCAACCCTTAGTATTGTCCTTCTCTTAAATTTATCCAATCTGGTGGAAGTGTAGTGGTAATTACTAATAGTTTAGTTTGTATTTAACTGATTATTAACAATGTTAAACTTCATATTTGCCTACAGACACTTTGGGGTATTCTTTGTGTGCATGAAGTGTCTTTTTAAGACTTATGCCATTTTATTGAACTATCAATCTTTTCATTGTTGATTGTAGGATTTTTAATGTATTATAGACAGGATTTTATCAAATATATGCATTGAAATTATTTTATCTGAATCTGTGGCTTGCTTTTCACTCTTTTAGTATTGACTTTTGTGGGACAGAAACGCATTTTTAAAGTGAATTTTATTGAGATGCTAATATAAAAGTAATATGAAACTCAGCCATTAAAGTGTCTTGTAGCTTTATAGAATTGTGCAACTAATACAACAATACAATTTTAGAATATTTCCATCACCCAAAAATGCATCATGCTTATTTTTGGTCAACTCCAATTTTTATTCTTAGTTCCACCAATCTGCTTCTTCTCTCTACAGATTTTCCCTGAATATTTCATACAAATGGAATTACATCATCTTGTGCCTTATTTATGTCTCTGAGTATGTTTTTGAAAGTCATCTACCTCTTACAGGTACCCATAAACTATTCCTTTGTATTGTAGAGTGACACGAGTATACCCTGTTTTGAATACCAGCTCATGAGCATATAGATTTAGGGGTGATTTCCGTGTGGCTAGTGTGAAGAACATTGCAGTGAACATTTGAGAAGAACAAGCTTTATGTATATGTATATTTTCTTTATCTTAGGTAGATGCCTAGAAGTGGCTTGGTAACTATGATAATTTCTTTTTAAGAAAAAAACAGCTTTACTAAAATAAAGTTCACATTCTGTAAAATTTACCCTTTAAAATGTACAGTTCAATAGTTGTTAGTATAGTCACAGAAATGTGCATCCATCACTTCAATCCAATTTTAGAACATTTTCAATAATTCAAAAAGTAAACTTTGGGGCTGGGAATTTAGCTCAGTGGTTCTGTTGCCTGCCTTGCAAGTATAAGGTCCTGAGTTCAATCCCCAGCACCACTACCAAAAAAAAAAAAAAAAAAAAAAAAAAAAAAACCCAAAAAAAAAACTTTGACCAAGCAGCAC